TGAAGACAGATGTCGCTAAGATAGTTAGCCCTCGTAACACCTGTCAGTTGGCTAAAGAAAAGAGACAAAACATTGAACTTTACTCCTCTTTCTGTTTCTAGTTGTCTTTGGCAAGATGTCAGTATGGATTCTTGTATTAGGACTCCCACGTACTCCAAAGAAACGTGATCTATTTTTGTTATAGTGGATTGTTTCTCGAAAATGGCCCACTTTATCCTTTGCAGCAAGACTTCAGATGCGTCTAGGATTGCTTGTCTGTACTTTAGTGAGATTGATAAGTTGTATGGTCTTCCTTAGATCATTGTGTTAAATAGGGATGGTCGGTTTACTAGTCACTTTTGGAGAACCTTATGGCACATGGTTGGCACTAAGTTGAAATTCTCCACTGCATATCATCCTCAAACCGATGGTTAAATTGAAGTTGTTAATAGCAGTCTTGGTAATCTATTAATGTGTATAGTTTAGGAAAATCTTGGGAACTACGATTTAATCCTCCCTATAGCCTAAATTGAATATAACAGTTTTGTGAATCGGTCATTAGGTATGAGTCCTATTAAAGTTGTTCATGTTTATAAACCCAGGAAGCCTCTAGACCTTATCCATATGCCCCTATATGCTAATGTGTCTGTGTATGCTGAGGCATTTGTACATCTTCATAACTTGCATATTGAGATTAATTAACAACTAGAGGCAAGCAATGCATCATATAAATTTAGAGCCAATTTGCATAAACGACATGTTGAATTTAATATTGGGGATTATGTAATGATCCGAATTAGACCGGAATGGTATTCATCTGGATCCGCTTCCAAGTTGTAAGACCATAGTGTTGGTCCTTTTAAAATTTTAAAGTGTGTTGGTCCAAATGCGTATGCCATTGATCTTCCATCACATTTTGGCTTCCATTCTACTTTCAATGTTGAGAACTTAGTTGCTTATAAAGGCCATTTTAAGCCCTCAGATGACCTTTTTCTACCCCCATTAGTGGACCTTCAACTTGAACCTGTTGTTACCCTTACTTCAACACCACTCGTCACAAAATCCAGAGATAAAATTGATGCTATCTTAGATGAACAGATTGTGTTGATTAATGATGGAGAGATTCAACGTTTTCTTGTTCGTAGGGTAGGTCCACCTGATTCTAATTGTACATGGATCCCTAGAGAAATACTCTAGCAGCTTGATCTCAACTTATTGGAGCTTTATAGGAGTTAGCATGACATTTCTTTGCCCAGACCACCAGTCACACGTTCCTATGGACGACGGAAGAAGTTTGTCCAATCACTCAGCTTATGGTTGGGGGACTGGCTGCAACCTTTCGTGAGTCATTCACTCGACAGAGTCGAGTTTCCTCTTACCTGGGAGAGTTGATGAGGACATCTACTTTGGACTAGTTTAATATTTTACTTTGGGCTTGTAGTATGTTTTGTAATTGGGCTAGTTTAGTATTTTGATTTGGGCTTGTATTATGTAAGCTGGTCAAGCCTTTTTTTATGGGAATGAAATGATTTTGAGCGTTGTATACTTTTTCTCCCTTGCTCTTCTTCTCTTCTCTCCTCTCCTTCTTCCCCAGCTGCTCCTTCTACTGGTTTCTTCCATCCCACTTATTTTCTACTGTTATAATTGAGCTAAATCAGAGAGAAAAGAGAAATAAGATATATATGTGTAGTAATTGCATAGAATAATCACAATTTAAAACCAAGTGTTAACCCTTTATTTACAAGGGTTTGAACAATTCCAATCTAAGTAGGAATTATACAAATATAATTTAAGTAGAAAACCAACTAAGAAAATAAATATAATCTAACACAAACTAGAATTAAAGAAACCCTAATTAATTTAATTCCTCTTTTGCATTGATTGTACTTTAATCATGGCATCTTTCTTTGCTGAAAGAACTTGAGCGAGTTATTTCTCCGATACCAAATTAACGTAAGACACTTTTAATGAAGATACACAATCAGAAACTTATGAGAATTGAGAAGAACCAAGGAGAGAGAAGGGAGAGGAGTAATTACATAGACATAATAATGTATTCAATAATCAAGTTGTAAGTGTTGACTGTTGATTTATAAACACTCCTAACTTAAACAGGAAACTAAACAAATCTAAATTAAGTAGGAAACAAATTGAGAAAATAAACCTAATATAACATCAGCTAATAGATACCTAATTAATCTAGTTCCTCTAGCGCCTTGTATATACTTTAATAGTTGCATCATGGTGTCTCTAAAATATCCTATAGTGTTGGTAATTGCAAAATATAGAAAAAATTTGCTCAAGGGCACATGGTTTATTGAGTGTCTGAGGATTGTTGGGTCCTATACAACATGACACAACACGCATTGAGCAGAGACATGCTGCCTCAGGAAGATTGTCCATGCTTTATCGGTTTTACACTTTATGTACTTCCATTTTAATATATAATTAGTTTTACACTGTATTGTGGAGTCCAGCATAATCTATGCTGCTTTTAGGAAGTACCTGCATCAAACACACATTTTTGGACTCTGCTTGGACAAGGATATGAGATCCTTCTCGAATCCTTAAATTCAGAAGATCTTTTATACCATTTTTGTTTTTTTAGTATTGTAACTTCTAAATTGTATATCAAAATTCAAATGAAGCAGTACAATTTTATTTGTCATATATTTACCATTTAGCATATATAATAAATGTATCTCCAAGAAATTAAGGTTGAATTATCAATATATAAATTTCTAAAGCAATTTTAAGCTTATAAGAGGTACCTGTCTCTAAATTTTAGATCCTCTTTAGCCGCATCCCCATATCCTTGATTTTTGGAAAAAAAAGATCCGACTCTGTATAAACACCCTCCTAGCCAAGCAACATATATTTTACTAGATCTTTGCTTCTTTTCCCTAATTTGAGAATGGATTATTTGACATCTTGTTGTCAAGTGCTGGGGGGTTATTAATGGTATTTACTTAATTGATCCCTTCCTGTGATGAATCCATGCTTTATTTTCCTTTAGTATAAACTTTTGATCTTCAGAAATGATAATTTATTCTTACATTTTTGTGCTTCTGTTAGGGCGGATGAGATGCCTCGAAGCTCTTGCTCGGTGGGAAGAGCTTAATAATCTGTGTAAGGAATATTGGACACCTGCTGATGCAGCTGCTCGACTGGAAATGGCACCAATGGTTTGTTTTTGGCTTTCTAATGATAGCTACTCTAGAAGAGCTATGAAAAATATGTTACCTTTCCTTTCCGAAGCACCTTTAAATTTGAATAATTCTTCCATACATGGAAGCTTAATTTTAACTTGAACAATGATTAGAACACTGAAACCAAATACATTAAATATTTGGGTGCACATCAGTTGAAAATAATGACAAGCAACTTTTATTTTCTTTTACAAAATAAACAACTATTATAAAAGGTGGTTTTTCCTTTTTTCCTTTTTTTTTTTTTTCTTTTTCTTTTTTTTTTTTTTTT